TAATAAAGAAAATGTAAGTCTATAACCTTACTTAACAATAAATTCTATTTTAATTTAAAAATTAGAATACTAATAAAATTATGCTAATGAGAAAATAAACATGGCATAAAGAAATAGATAATAAAAGAAAATTACATAGAATTTGAGAACAAGAATAAAATGAAATATAATAATATAAAATAAAAAATAGACTTTTACAAATTTTTGGAATAATAAAAATAAAAATAAAAAGAAATTAAAATAATAGAAGTAAAAAAAATTAAAACAAAAAAAATAAAAATAGAGATAAAAAAAATGAAAAAGTAATCAGGTGTGGTGTAATTACCACCAGCAATTCACAACCTCTGCCTGTGAATTGTAGAGTGTAATTACCCCCTGCCAATTACACCAATTACCTGCTGACCAAGTAATTACATATCCTTCCAAACATGACAAGACAATGTAATTACACCAATTACACCAAATCCAATTATCAGGGTGTCCTTCCAAACAAGTCCTTACTAAAATTTAGTTCATTTATGTCAAATCATATAAATCAGAGTAAAAAGCCAAAAATTTCTTGGAAAAAAAGAACCCTTCGGCGAGAACAGCTGGCCCTTAAAAAAGTATTCTCAATCTCAATTTACGTGACAGTTTTCAATTTTCCAAAAATTAAACATCATAATTTTGACCATAAATTCTTTAAATTCTTTAAATAATAAAATTTATACACTGGGAAACAAAGCAAAAAATAATATCAGTACGATTTTTGAATCTCAAAATCTAAAAAATGTGTCGAGAAAGAGAGTAGTAAATATATATAGTAGACATATTTCTTCTATATTCAAATGTATAAGAAACCGTAAATAAATTTTATGATTATGCACAACTAAACTGATACTTAAGTATATTTACTAGAACAGTAACTACTATTCGACAGATATTCAAAAAAATCCATAATAAAAAACAAAAAAAAAAAACAGAGCAAAGCCCAGAGTTCTGAGTCCTAAAAGCTCCATTATGATCAGCTTTTAACAAGCCCATTTCAGTGTCTCAAAGCTGCAAGAAATTAAACTTTCCCCAGCGCCAGCTGCAGACTGCTCCAGAAAATAACCACAAAAATCTGTACTATGATCTGCCCACCACGGCGAGTACAGCAGTCCTTCAACTGAGTCACTCGGCCGCAACTCAGTTTTTGAATCGTCACTTTCTGCTAAATTAGGCAGTTCAATAATCTCACAAAGCTCTTCAGATCCCGTTGATGTTGTTGAGGATGAGGACGAGGACGAGGACGAGGACGATGAGGCTGAAGAAGGTGGGTCCCTCATTGATGCTGCTTTAGCAGCAGCAGCTTGAACATCTCTAGGTGAATTTGACAATGGACGAGGCAACGAGTCGATTAGATGAGGGAAATTGAGAATGGCGGATTTTCCTTTTATACTCACCGCTGCAACATCATGTGCCCTAGCGGCCATTTCTGCTGTAGGATAAGTACCGAGCCAAATACGTGATTTCTTCCTCGGTTCACGAATTTCAGATACCCATTTCCCCCAACTTCTCATCCTAACTCCTCTGTAAATTTGATGTCTACTCTCACTATTAGTAATAGCCTTCTGTTTCTTCGTCGGCCGTTTCTTCCCTTTCGGTAATTTGTTTGACGAATCAAAAACCGATTTGTGCATGGAATCAGCGGACAACGAAGACGAAGAAGAAGAAACAGAGGTATTAGTATTAGAAGAGCTCTCTGTTTCTGAAATTTGTACTTCAACTTCCGCCATTAATGAATATACAGAAACAGTTATCCCGTGAAGCTCTTAATACAAGTCGGTTAATGCAATGAATAGAGTGTTTTGTAGTAATATATTTTTTTTTCCTTTTTGGGTTCTATATATTGAATGACAAAAAAGAGTTCATATTTTATATTTGTTGAATGAGAGTATGAAAATTGCTAGAAAAAGATAGAAGAATGAAAGTGAAAGATGAGAGAAAAGACAAAATTTTGGAAGTGCCCGTTGGGTATTGATAGGTGTGGGAGCGGGCGTTTTTATAGCGAAAACATACTAATTTACTTCAATACTGATGTGATGTGATGTGATGTGTAGTAGACATTGTTTCCCACTTTTAACACTACAAAACCACTATAATACTAACCAACGTACCAATACACAATACAAAACTAAAGTACAACATCAATACTATATCACATGGGAAATAAAATTTTAAAAAAATATTGGGTTAGAATTTATTGAAAATGGGTGAACTTTTAATGGAGAAGCCTCCCATTCAATGGGATCTGGCTCCCCTCCATTTCGTCAAGATTATATTATATTAACAAATGTTATAACTATAGTTAAGTCAACTAATTTTAAAAAACTACTTTCTAAATTTGATAAAAATTACAATATATTTCATACAAAATTTAATATTTATTAATATCAAATTCACAAATCAACAATCCATATGGTCACTAGATTTTATCCACTTTAATGGATTAGTAAAAGCACTACATTTTAGGTAAGTTTAATTACTTTTATATATTCTTTCTATTTTAAAGAAACAATAAATAATAGAAGTAATATTACTATTTTATTCTTTGACTTTATTAAATTTAATGTTTTGAGAAATGTGTTAGATGATAAATACTCTCTATGTCCCTAATTACTTGTCCATTTTGACAAATTAAGAAAAGACAATTTTTTTTACCTATTGTACCCTCAATTAATTGCTTTGAAAAATGTAGAACTTCTTGAAACTCTTAAGTTTTTAATTCATCCACTTCATTATTAATAGGGGTACAATGGTAAACTCAATATGTCAATTATTATTTTCTTAATAGATGTGTCAATTTAAAAGTGGACAAGTAATTAGGGACATAGTGAGTAGTATTTAATAGCAAGGGTACAATAGACCAAAAAGGCAAATTATCTCATGATTTTCTAAACTGGACAAGTATTGTTGTATTGTTGAACAACTATTTGTAGGATCCGTTTGGCCATAAATTTTCCAAGTAAAGTTTGTGTGGGGGGGGAGGGGGTTGGCAAATAGTGTTTGTCCATACAATTTGCCATTATTTGACAAATATTTTTAATAAATAACCCAAATTCCCAAATACTAGAAAAAACTAGTATATGAGCTAAATATGATTATTTGGGAGCTTTTAAAAATTCAAATTCTGCATCAAACTTTTATTTTTTTTTATAAAAACATCCTCTATAGTAGTTGCTTGTATTGTATTACATATTTTTTTAACGTGAACGCCAAAGCAATGATGGAATATTCGGTGAATATGAAAGTGATGATATAATAATTGTTGATGAAAATGACGAACAATCGATTCGGGGTAATAAAGTCATGTGATTCATCTACTTCACGATGTATGGAATGCTGCTTGTTGCACTCACTCCGAACTATCACATTGCTCTAATGTCATGGACACTACTTGTTATTTGTTGCAACGAAGATCTAATTGAATTATTACGGAAGTCAAGAATCTTGTTACGTCGATGTTTCTATCTTGCTATGTAATACTAACATGTGGTTATATTTGATAGTTTTTAAAACTTATGGGTATAAATTATATTTCTTAGAAAAGTGAAATATGTTTCCCAAATATTATGACTAAACACATGGTGAAATTTCACCTAAATAATATTTGGAATTTATAATGGCCAAATGCTAGCTTAGTATAGTGGACGACTCTTGTTAGACGAAGGGAGTAATAAAATAATTTGTTCCTTGTGATGACTCTCCTAGTATCTCATATGAGAAGGAACTGACCAAAAATAATGACTTATTAGCCAACCCTTGAGTAGGGGCAAGTGATAAGTGGACCCTCAACTCTCAAATATGAGAAGGAACTGACCAAAAATAATGACTTAATAGCCAAACTTGAGTAGGGGCAAGTGATAAGTTGGACCCTCAACTCTCAAGAAGAATGGGTCAGCTAGCTATTGAACAAAAAGGTTCCCAACAATATATTCCGTGTACCAAAAGCCAAAAGAAAAAATGTCCCACACTACCAATAGATTTTTTGTTCTTCTTTTTTCAAGCATATACGTTACAAGTAAATTTACTGTTAATTCCTTTTGGTAAAACAAATACTTCATTCATAGTCATACACGTATCTTTCATTCATGTGTCCGTTGGAATTTGTACAATACTTTTTTAAATTTGTCCGTTACTATACTTGTTCAAACTTCAAAAAAATATTAGTACTAAAAAATATTTTGACCATATCTACAATCTCTCCATATTTCTAGCTCGTGATATGTTTTCCTTCTCTCCTGGAACAGAGAATAAAATCAAACTATTTACTGCACAGATAGCGGCAAAGTTGGCACCCTTTTTGACCATTTTCTGAACAAAGAAAGAAAATAATTACTACTGCCTTTTGTTCTATAATAAAAACTAGAAAAATGAAAGCCAAAAATTTGAACTTTTTATGAATTTTATGAACATTTTAAGATATCTCTATTTTTTAATCATATTGATATGTGAAGAATATCAATATATAGTATTTTTTTTAGGTATAGTTTTGAAGTCTATTGACTTTCACAAGAATAAAGGATATAAATAATTAATAACTACTATATACATGAATTGTGTGTTTTGGTGGGTGAGTGTGACTATTTCTAAAGATTCGAGAATGATGAAGATACTAAAAAATAATACAAATAATATCACGAGATATTAACAAGACTTTTTTTTTTTTTGGTTTCACACCTGGTGTCCGTAGCCCACATTGGAACTCCAACTAAATTCAGATCGCGCTGTGACCCATTCGGGGGTGGCGCTCCCAACATGATTTTTTCCATACCCAGGGCTCGAACTCGAAACATTTGATTAAGGGTGAAACACTTCCACCAGTGCACCACAATCCATGTTGGTGATATTAACAAGACTTGTATACTAGGACTTTCAAACAAGTCACATTTTTAATAAGTTCAAATTAAAACTGTAAGTCTAACTAAATTTGCGTAATGAACATTATAAGGACAATGTTTATCGTCATGCTATTGAAATTTATTCCCAAGTTACTAAAAGAAAAGAAAATATATCTAAATATAGTAGAGATCTTCCCGTCTTGTTCCAGTAACATGGACTCATTCGATCGAAAGAAAATACTTGAGACTAGACATTAGGTCAAGTAACAAAGAGAATTGACATAATATATTTGCATGTAACCATTTTCTATTCCTTTTTTTTCGTTTACATGATACCATTTTTGTATAGCTCAAGAATACATATTCAATATGTATGCCAAATTAATGTACATCATACACCCACAGGACCATCAATTAGAAAATAAACTCACAGAGTCCTTAACATATGCTGACCTATAAACTAACTCCCATTCCAAATCCATAAAAATCTCAATGTCCTCATTTGTTGTCCCCTATTTCTCCATTCTGTTTCATTCTTGTTATAGTGGGTAAAAGTCTCACATTGATTGGAAAATGGACTGGTGATCTTCTTATATGGACTTGGCCAATCCTCCCAGCATGTGTCATATATTTACGTAGTATCAGAGCCAGGTTCATCCCCGTTTGGACTCCCGATCCATGCTCCAATTTACATACTCTCTCCGTTTAAAAAAGTATAACCTAATTTGACTTGGAACGAAGTTTCAGAAAAGAAATAAACTTTTTAATCTTGTGCTTCTAAACTAAATATATTAAATGTACCAAAGTGTCCTTTAATCGTGGGACCTTAAACATGCGTGAAAAATTAAAGTTAAAGTATTGCAAAAAAGAAAATTGGTCATTATTTTTTAAACAAACTAAAAAGAAAATTATGTCATTCTTTCTCAAACGGATGGAGTAATTATTTTTTTGTTCAAATGCCACTTCACCATAAAACGACAAATTTGCCTCGAGTGTACTAATTCTATTTGCCGTACACTACAACTGGCCTCTATATCCCTAATGCCTGTCAAAAATATTACTCCCTCCGTCCCTATTTACTTGTCCATATTTCCTTTTCTGGTTGTCCCTATTTAGTTGTCCATTTTGACAAATCAAGAAAGGACAACAAATTTTTTCCTATTATACCCTTATTTACACTTTTTGAAAATTGTAAAAGTGTATGTTGTTTCCCTCCAATTTATTTCACTTGAATTCAAATAAGTGGTTGTAATTTTGAAGTGAAAAGTTGTCATAAGGGTAAAATTGTAACTTCACTGTGCTAATCATTGTTGCCTTAATCTGTGTGCCATTTCTAAAGTGGACAACTAAAAAGGGACGGAGGGAGTATAACTATTAAACCGTTATGGCTACAGTGACCTGTCCTGTCCATACTCCGAATAATCTGAAAGATAAAAAAGATTGGAACAGGTGGATCAATTCTAAGATTGCGAGTTTTAATCACCAAAGAAACGAGTAAGAGGCAGAGGCGTATCCAAGGAAGGGTCACCGGGTTCACGTGAATCCATGCTCCCCTCTCGAGATCATATATAGTAGTGTTATATTTTTGAAAAATATTGAAATATAGATGTGTGAACCCATATTCGGAGTATCATATAATGCGATGATGACTGGGTGCACCTCTCTACGTGAGGTTAGAAATTTGAATTAATATTCATCTTGTTTTATTTTTCTTTGTAAAATTAGATAACACCTCTCTAAATGGTTATTGGTAACACTTTTGACATTTTAATTAGTTTTGGACCTATAATATTAATTTTAACGATTTTCAATACTAAAAACCTAAATGTCCAACCGATCAAATTTATATTTTAGATCAACCTTTTTGTAATAATGCACCCATCATCCCGAAATCCTGGATACGCCTCTGGTAAGAGGTTTCAAAATTTGGTAAAATTGAAAATTAATTTCATCGTTGAATTTTATGTGAACAAAAAAAAAATCTAATCTTCCCAATCCAACATAAGTTATGCTAACAATTTAAAAGTACGTAGAATTAGAAGTTATAAGTAGATAAAGTCGATTATACGTACAAAAAAATGTTTACTAGACAATACACGGCCACAAGACACTTT